GCTTGAGAGGTAAACACTCTGGGGTCCCAGGCTTGGAGGGAGGAATCCCATACTTCAATGACTTTTTCCTCCATGGGCTACTCCAGGGGTGACACCAGGCTCTCAGAGAGATCTGAGGAAAACCCCTCCACCCTTCAGGCAAGGGGAGGGGAAAAGAAGCAATGTGAAATGCACCCAGATCCTTCCTTCTCTGGAACAAAGGCTGAACTCAAGGAAAACCGCTTTGTCAGACCTGAGGGGAGGAATAAGTAAGCCACCCCCCCTCCCCCAAAGCCTTAATGTCAGCCAGGGACTGAAGCCACTGAAAGCAAAGCTTTGCTCATAGGATTTCAGAATACAGTAGACTCCCACCCAATCTCAGGGCTTCAGCAGCACCTCTGGGTTACATGGAGAGAGCAGACGTTCTATTGGAGAAGGAGCTTCCAGGGAAGCCAAAGACAGCTGGAGAGACAGAACCAGTCATCAGAGGAATGGAAGTCCCACAAACAGGAAACACAGCCCAACCCCAGTCAGATGAACATAAATCCTAATTATCCCAATCCTATTATCCAATACATTATATCAGTTTCCACACACAAAAGCACAAGGCATGCTAAGAGGCAAGGAAAACACAGTCCGAGGAGACAATGCAAGCAACGGAATCAGACCCAGGTATGGCAGAGACTTGGGGACTATCAGCCAGAGGGTTTATACTGACCATGGTAACATGCTAGGGGCTCTATGGGAACATGAACATCATGCAGAACAGAGGAGTAATGTGGGCAGAGAGAGGAAAACTCCAAGGAGGAATAAAAAGGAAATGCTTGAGATAAAAAAGACATTATACCAGAAATAGGTTATAATGTAAATTCTGACAGAAAAACTCACATTCAACATCTTGCTGGAGTCCTGGATAATGCAATTAGACAAAAAAAAAAAAAAAAAAAAAAAGTACCGACTGGGAAGGAAGACATAAAATTGTCTCTGTTTTGAAGATGCCATAATTATCCATTTAGAAAAATCTCAAGGAACAAACACCAAACAAATTTCTGTAACTAGTAAGGAGCTATATAGCAAGGTTGCAGGACGTAAAGTTAATATTAACTCAACTAGAGGCCTGGTGCACAAAATTTGTAAATGAGGAGATGGGGGATATTCCCTCAGCCCAGCCTGCACCCTCTCCAATCTAGAATCCCTCAGGGGATGTCCAACTGCCTGTTTAGCCCCCATTCCGGGGATTGGGTCTAAACCAGCCTTCATATATCCCTCTCACAATCTGGGACCACTGGCTCCTAACTGTTCACCTGCCTGCATGCCTGACCACCCCCAACTGCCCCCCCACAGGTCTTGTCAACCCCATCTTCCCCCTCCTGTCATCCTGATACTCCTCACTGCCCCCTCTGCTAGCCTGGTTGCCCCCAACTGCCCCCTGCCAGCCTAGTTGCCCCTCATTGTACCCCTCTGCTTGCCTGTTCACCCCCAACTGCCTCTTTGCTGACCTGGTCAACCCCAACTGCACCCCCCACCAGCCTGGTTGCCCCAACTGCCCCTCATGCCAACCTGGTCACCCCTCACTGCTCCACTCTGCCAGCCTGGTCATTCCTAAGTGCCCTCCCCTGCTGGCCTGATTACCCCTCACTGCCCACCTCTGCCAGCCTGGTTGCCTCCCATTCCCCCCTCTGCCAGCCAGGCTGCCACCAACTGTCCCTCCGCTGCTGGCCTGATCTCCCTAACTGCCTTTTCCTGGCTGACTGGTCACCCCTCACTGACCACCTCTGTTGGCCTGGTCACCCCTCACTGCTGCCCCCTGCCAGTCTGGTTGCCCCCAACTACCCCCTTTGCTGGCCTGGTTGCCCCCAACTGCCCCGTGAAGGCTTGGTCACACCATGTAGCCTGCTGGTTTGGTTGTTATTGTAAGGAAGTCCTGACCAATTTGCATATTACCCTTTTATTAGTATAGATTGTTATATACTGCTATATACCAATAATGGAAAATTGAAATTTGAAATTAAAATCAATACCTTTCACTTTAGCATCCCCAAAATGAAGTACTTAAGAATAATTTAACAAAATATGTACAAGATCTACCTACATATCTCTGATGAAAGAAATCAAAGATCTAAATGAATAGAGAGATATCCATGTTCATAGATAGAAAGACAATATTATTAAGATGCCATATTTTCCCATCTTGATCAGAGATTCTATACAACCCCAATCAAAATGCTGGCAAGTTATTTTGTGGATGTCAACAAGCTGATTCTGAAGTTTATGTAGAAGGGCAAAGGACACAGAAAAGCCAACTTGATATGCAATTTTTAATCCTCATTCGAGATATGTTTTTGTTGATTTTATTTTTTAGAAAAAAGGAAGAAGGGAGAGAGAGAAACATTGATGTGAGAGAGAAACATGGATCGGTTGTCTCCCATATGGGCCCCGACTGGGGATCAAAACCAAAACATAGGTATGTGCCCTGATCAGAATCAAGCCTGCCACCTTTTTGTGTAAAAGACGATGCTCCAACCAATTGAACCACCTGGCTTGGGCAAAGCCAACATGATATTGAAGACAAAAAACAAAATTGGAGGACTAACTTCAAGACTTACTACAGAGCTGTAATAATATTGATGAAAGAAGAGACACACAAATCATTAGACTAGAATGGAGAGCCCAGAAATAGACCCATACAAATAGTCAACTGATCTTTGACAAAGAAGCAAAGGCAATTCCATGGGGGGAAAGATAGTCTTTTCAACCAAGAGTAGCCAACAACTATAATATATAGCCACCTGCCAAAGTGAATCTTGACACAGACCTTTCACAAAGATTAATACAAAATAAACCTGAGTGTAAAATGCAAAACTATAACACCTCTAGAAGATAATATAGAAGAACATCTAGATGGCCTTGGGTTTGGTGATGAGTGTTAGTACTAGTATGTGTGTTGCCAAAGCCAGTACGTGATGATAAGATTTAGATACACCACCCAAGACATGATACATGAAAGAAAAAATTATTAAGTTGCACTTCATAAAAATGAGAAACTTCTGCTTTGTGAAAGATACTGTTAATAGAATGAAAAGATAAGCCTGAGTGGGAGAAATTCTTTGCAAAACACATATCCGATAAAGGACTGTTATCCTATCTAATAAAAGAATAATATGCAAATTGACCATCACTCTAAGACACAAGGTGGCTGCCCCCATGTGGACACAAAATGGCCACCACAAGATGGCCAGCAGGGGAGGGCAGGTGGAGGAGACCAGGCCATCAAGGAAGGGCAGTTGAGGGTGTCCAGGCTGGCAGGGAAGGGCAGTTAGGGGCAATCGGGCAGGCTAGGGAGCAGTTAGGCATAAATCAGGCTGGCAGGGGAGTGATTAAAGAGTGATCAGGCTGGCAGGCAGAAGTGGTTAGGGGCAATCAGGCAGAGACAGGTGAGCGGTTGGGATCCAGCAGTCCTGGATTGTGAGAGGGATGTCTGACTGCCTGTGGGATCGGGCCTAAACTGCAGTTGGACATCCTTCAAGGGGTTCTAGATTGGAGAGGGTGCAGACTGGGCTGAGGGACACCCCACCATGCATGAATTTCATGCCCTGGGCCTCTAGTCCAAATATAAAAAGAACTCTTCACCTCCACAATAAGAAAGCAGGCAACTCAAATAAAAATTGGCTGGGAGGAACATGAAGCAGCCCATGCCCTGTGTGAGCTCTGGGAACCCTCTGCCTGCGTCAGTCAACGGTTCTTGTTCTCACCTCTTCCCTGATGGTGACCTGGATGGAGTGGGGAATGCAGGCAGTTCCAGAATGCCACGAGCGGGGAGGCTGGCTGGGGCCCCCGTGACCAGTAGGCCGAGGGAGAATGAGGAGGTGGGATGGATGAACCGGGGCCTGGTTGGGGGAGTGGTCAGGGGGAATTGGCATAAGGACTTATTATCTCACTGTCACTTACCTCTGCCTGTCCTAGGATAATGGCACTCAGATCCCAAATAGACTCCACTGTGATCAGCAGAATTGCTCAGGTGGCATCCGGACATGGATGTTGGAATGGAATCTGCCATTCTGGGGCCTGTGGGGCAGCAGGGTGATGACGCGGAGCTGTTCCCTCCCAGAGCTCACAAGGAGTCTGCCAGCCCCTCCCTGGCAGTGAGGGGGGAGGGCTGAGCCCTGTGAATAGAGGGGTGGAGAGGAGTGACCACGGTCAGTGGCACTGCCCCATGAGCACCTCCCAGCTTCTCTGAGGGTGGCCCTCAGTCATGATTCCTCTTCTGGAAACAGGCAGGGTGGGAGCAGCTGGTTGCATACTCGGATAGCACCATCATTCCTGGGCGCAGCTGTGCCTGGAGGCCTGGTGGAGGGCTTCTCACTGCCCCTGGCAGAGGAGAGGAATGTAACCCCAGCAGCTGGAAGGGGAGCTATTTCCATGCCAGGGCTCAGCTGGCTGACAGAGAGATACGCTCAAATGTCCAGCTCTGAGTCCATGGCAGGATCAGGGAGCCATGATACATAGAGACACGCATGGATGCTAGAGCCCCCGCCCCATCCCCCGCCCTCGGACTGGACTAGGCATCTCAACCTCCAGAGTCCAGGAAGGCTGGGACCACCTCAGGGTGGAGTGATGGTGGCTTGGCCTCTACTTGGCTGTGTGCCCTCCTCATGTGACACCAGATGGGTAGAGGTCGCATGGAAGCCTTGGTCTGAATCATCCACTTCCTCCACCCTGGCTTGGAGGATCCAGCAACCCTCCTCTGACCCCCACCCGGTCTGGAAGGATAAATGGGAGGAGAGAGTGGGCTGGGGCAACAGCAGCAGGAACCTGTCAAGGTAAGCACCCCACCAGACCCCACCACCTGGGGTTAGTGCACTGAGTAGCTGAGACTCACATCTGGAGCAGCAGGATCTCAGACTCCAGGTCTGAACTGGCCCCTCATCCTGGGGTCCTCAACTCAATTTGTACCCACACCCTGCAGACCCCCGCCGGGCTCAGCCCCCCTGGGTCAAGCAGCCCCTCCTGGCTCCTTCCAGATGCTGAGTCTGCTGGTGCTGGCACTGCCCCTCCTGCTGCTAAGCCCAGGCCACGCAGCACCTGGTGAGTCCTGACCATGGTCAGCCCTGTCTCTCTCCTTCCCCCTTGCCCACAGCTCCACAAGGGGTGGTGGGCTCACAGAAGCCCAGGTTTGTGCGGGCACGGGGGCTGGGCTGTGTCCTGTGCTGCCCTGAGGTGTTTCCTGCCCCAGCTCCGAGCCAGGACCTGGAGAGAGTGGGCATCGTGGGGGGGCAGGAGGCCCCTGGAAGCAAGTGGCCCTGGCAGGTGAGCCTAGACGCAAAGAGGAATTCTGGATGCACTTGCGCGGGGGCTCCCTCATCCACACCCAGTGGGTGCTGACCGCCGAGCACTGCCTGGGACTCTGAGTGCCCATGGGGCCTGATGGGTGGGGGCTGGGGCTGGGTGAACAGGAGGCTTCCCAGGAAAATCAAAGATCCTGCGGAACTGAGGGTGCAGCTGCGGGAGCAGCACCTCTATTACCGGGACAAGCTGCTGCCCATCAACCGGGTCATCGTGCACCCCAACTACTTCACCTCCAAGAACGGGGCAGACATCGCCCTGCTGGAGCTGGAGGAGCCCCTGAGGATCTCCTGCAAACTTCAGCGGGTGGCTCTGCCCCCTGCCTGGGAGACATTCCCTCCGGGCACCCCCTGCTGGGTGACAGGCTGGGGTGATGTGCAAGAGGAAGGTGAGTGTCAGCAATAGTTGGAGGGCTTGGGGGAGTGGGGATCAGTCACACCCAAGACCCAACTCTGAGTTTCCATTGTGGGAGGAGTCCTAACAGCAGGCTAGGGCAGTGCTGGCCTCCTCACTGGTGCTGAATGCTCTCCTCTAGCCTCAGTGCCCCTCCCCTGCCATACACCCTGAAGCAGGCGAAGGTCCCTATCATGGAAAACAGCAAATGTGACTCCAAATACCATGCTGGCCTCTACACGGGGGACAACGTCCGGATCGTCCATAAGGACATGATCTGTGTCGGGACCACGAACATGGACTCCTGCAAGGTGCGCCTGTGTCCTCCCCCAAGGCCCAGCCCCTCAGCCTCTGCAGGCCCTTGCTGACCCCTCTCCTCCACAGGGTGACTCTGGAGGGCCCCTCATCTGCAAGATCAACGGCACCTGGATGCAGGCGGGTGTGGTAAGCTGGGGTGAGGGCTGTGGTGACCCCAACAGGCCCCGAATCTACACCCGCGTCACCTCCTACCTGCACTGGATCCACCAGCACATCCCCAAAGAACTTTGATCCTGTCCCTCTGGCTGCCACCTAGGGCCAAGGAGAATCCAGTCCCCTCCTGTCCCCAGACAATGGCTTCCTGCCCAGTGTCTGCCCTTTCCACCTCCCATACCCCCTGCCCTCAGCCCGCCAACTAACCCCTCTCCAGCCCAGGGGGTGGTGGTGGGCACTGCCCCTCAATAAAATGTGTGAAGAGCACATGTGATTGTCCCTCTGTGGGCCTCACTGAGAGGGAGGGAGGGCTCCAGAGGCAGCCACGCAGCCACAGTGTGTCACTGTGGGGACCTGGCCCTGAGCACTGGCCTGGCTATGGGGACACCCCCTCCTCAGCCCCTGGTGCCTGGGGTTGTGTCTCCCCGGGAGTGGTCATGGGAATTCAGGACACAGAAAGCAACACAGAGCATTTAAAAGACGACTCCAGCCCAGCCAGAGTGGCTCAGCAGTTGAGCATTGACCTATGAACCAGGATAATTCTAAGGGCAGCCAGGTACCCAGCATCGGGGTCACAATGTAGATAGACCCTTGGCCCCACACCCTGGGGCCCTCCGACCACGCAGTGCCCGCCCTCCCCAGCCCCGTCCTCAGCCTCAGGCCGCACTGCGCACACACATGTAGACATCAGGAAACTCTCAGGGGACAGGTGTCCGCCTGCAACACTAACGGCCCCAGGCCCTTTCCCAATGCGTCCGCCTCTTGGATGAGCGGTGGCCGAGCGAGCTTCCTGTCACCGCTCAGGTCCCGGGGCCGCTGGTTCTGTGCCTCCGGCTGCTGTGCGTGCAGCTTGTCTCCTGGGCACAGCGTCCATGCCCGAGCTCTGCTGCCCACAGTGCAGACTGGCAGGTCCGTGTGGGAGGGCCTCTGCCCACTCCCCTGAGCCTCCTGCTGTGGACACCATGGTGGGGAGCTCACCTCCTCCTTCCCTGTCACCCTTAGCCATCTGATTGCAGCCAGAATACTGCCCTTTCTCCATATGAGAGCAGAGAGGGGCCGGCCAGCGTCCTCCCTGCTCCCTCTCCGGCCCACACTCTTGGGGCTGCCTCTGTGGTTCGTGGGCTGAGCTCCTTGGATTGCTCACCTTGCACAAGGGCATCTACACTTTTCCTAGTGCAGGCTGTGCTGGGGACACTGAGGGACAAGGGCTCCTCCGGTGGGGTGCAAGGAAGGAAAGGGACATGGGGGGCCTGGGGCTGTGACACCCACACTGGGGGAGCAGAGAGGACGCCAGGCACCCCGCTTCCCCTTGTCTGGCCCTGGGATCTCCAGGCGCTCAGCCAGCGGCAGTGACAGACACAGTGAGTGCTGGCTAATCAGGGAGGCTCACCGGGTTTTCCGCTGGGCCAAGGGGGCTGCGAGGGGGCAGCCCTTCCTCTGTGCCCACATGGGTCCTCCTGAGGGCGCTCCGTGCAGGCCCACGGTCACTGGCTGCTGGTGACCCGCACCCCAGGTCCAGGAGAGGGTGGCACTCGGGTTTTCCACCCCTCCCTGTGCTCCCCTGGAAAACGGGCACAGAACCGAGTCCCATCAGAGTCATCGAGGGGCCACACCCATGGTGATCAGTTTCTTGTTGGAGAGCCGGCCTCCCATCTGGGGGTGTGGGGATCCTGCAGGAAACCACGTATGCCGTGCCGGTGGAATAAGGGGATTCAATGCTGGAGGCAAATGAGCTAAAACAGGTGAAGGCCCTGAAGGCCCATCGTGTGGGGACCAGGGAGGCCATGGAAGTACAAGAGGCAGAGGACTGGGTCCCTCCCGAACGGCCCCACCCCACACTGGGCAGCATCCGGCCCCCGGGGCCTGGCAGGGCAGGCCTGGGCTGCAGCCCCACTCCCTGAGCTGGACAGAAAGGGCGCTTTCCCCTTTCCCCTGGAATATAATTCTAGAAGTGGGATTACTGGGTCACATGGCAGCTCCATTTTTCGTTTTTTGGGGGAAACTCCATACTGTTTTCAACAGTGGCTGCATCAGTCTGCATTCCCACCAGCAGTGGACGAGGGTTGTTTGATCAGGGACAAGATCAAAGCTGGAACTGTAACAAGGGTGCCGGAGCAGGTCGGCAAAAGGCACAGCTTCTGATACCTAACAGCCCGGTTGTGCAACACCTCAGTGTAAGCTGGACAGCGAGGGCGGGTGGGGCGCTGTGGGGGCAGCACTGTGCCAGCGTCCACCGGTCCTCACGTGTCACAGTGGAGGTCTTAGGGCCCAGGGCAGGGAGGGCTCCTGGAGGCCCTCATTCATGTCACTGCTGCCCCATTCGGGCCCCACCAAACCTCAGGACAACTGTGAGCACACAGACAATGACACTGAATCTCCCTCACTCTGCCCCCCTGCTCAGAGGGTCACAGGCCCCAGCGCAGCTTTGTGTCCACAGGACAGCTTTGCTCTTCACCGAGGGCAGCGCCTGGGACCGGCTTCCAGGCAGCACCCTTTTCTGCCCGCTGGGGCTCTGAACAAGGCCCCTAAGTTCTGTGTGCTGCTCCCTGGCTCCTCTCCTGGGGCTGTCCTCCCACAGCCAGGCCTTTGTCCTAGAAGTGGGGGTGCCAATCTGTGACAGCCAGGCTGTCCGGCTCAAGCTCCACCATCCCCTCCTTCCTCCTGCTGGCTTTCCAATTTCCACTCTCCCTCCTCCCGGATGCCCAGGCACCCAGGTATTCCCCTGTTCTAATGGGTAGGAGACTTGACTGGCACCACCAGGGCTCCTACCACATGGGCCCCACAGCTGGAGGTTCCCGCTGCCTCTCTGAGGGACGTTCCCAGAGTCTTGGTTTGTAGTTGGATGGCATTCCCCTGAGGTGACCAGATTTGCCAGAAGAGGTGCCAGGACTATGGCCTGGCGCTTCCTTGGCTCCAGGACATGCTGGGAGAGAAGGCTCCACAGACAGACTGCCACCCATGACTGAGTTTCCAGCCCCAGGCTGGTCTCCCTGCACCCAGAGCCCCCTAGTGCCTCCCTCAACGTGTGCCCATGCATAATCACCTTCTTATGTGTGGGCATACAGCCACGTATGCACGCGCAAGTGTGTGTGCACGTGTGTGTGTGCATGTGTGTGTGTGTGTGTGTATGGTTGTTCAGTTGCATGGATTTGGGAAGCTCTGATACATGCAGACATATGGTCACATATAACTTTGATAGACGTTGGACAGGAGCAGATCACAGCGAACTCCATGTGACAAGGCCATTTGCCAACAAGTTCACTGTCTGAGTTACGAGGGGCGTCCTGTAACCCATCTTTGGTAACTGATGCTGGCCATGTATTTCTCTGCCTTTGTTTACGTCCTCGGCAAATACTGAGCCTGAATTTCTATTCTCAGAGGTCTCTTCCAGTGCCTTGTATTGGAAGACAACAGGCTACATTGGTATTTTAAGCTTTCTCACACTTATATCAAAAATGGGCACAAGCCCTCCTACATTGGGAAATTTAAAAAATATACTTCTAAAGAAATGTCAGAATGAAAATTAAAAAAAAACAGATATGACTTGACAGCCTTTTAATATTCACAGGGACATGGGGTCTTGCACCTGGAGGGAGATGACCAGTCCTTTCTGGATTCAGTACAAATAGAACAGAGAATGTCCTGTTGAAGTCCAGAAGTGAGAAAAGAGATGTCAGAGGAAAGTGAGAGAGAGCATAGGAAGAGAATAAAAGATCGGCTGACTAAAGGAAGGGAGTCAGGGGTGATTTAAAACAAATAAAAGAGCATAACCATTATTGTTTGTCTCATTTAGGTTCTTTTTTAATTTTTAATTTTTTAAATATATTTTATTGATTTTTCACAGAGAGGAAGAGAGAGGGACAGAGAGTTAGAAACATCGATGAGAGAGAATCATCGATCAGCTGCCTCTTGCACCCCCAACTGGGGATGTGCCCGCAACCAAGATACATGCCCTTGACCGGAATCCAACCTGAGACCTTTCAGTCCGCGGGCCTACACTCTATCCACAGAGCCAAATGGGTTTCGGCTCATCTTAGTTTCTTATAAGTGTATTTCCAGTAGGACATGATCTCACTCATCTAGGGGAAATGAAGAACAACATAGACTGATGAACAAGAACAGGCCCAGAGACAAGGAGGCATGAATCAGACTATTGGACCTCAGACGAAGGGTGG